AATCTTTTTAAGTGAGGTTTGGAAGAGCATAGAGAAAATTTGTATTTTCAGTCTATCATTCTTAACTGGATTATTCATACTTTCTAATCCAACAGGCACAAAAAAATACCTAACAGAAATGTCATGGTGACCAAGGCTAAGGAGCGATGGGACATTCCCTGATAGTCTTTTTAAATAAAAATGTTCAGTTTGAAATAATTTTAGATTTACCCAAAACTTGCAAAGACAGTACAGTATCTTCCTCCACCCACCCCTAACGTAACATCGATGTTAGTAATTATTAATGTTAATAACCCCGGTGTCTGTTCTTATGTGAGATTTTGAAGGATATTTAGATTTATATACACACTTAACAATTAAAATACTATACACACCCACAAAATCTCACTCAAGCACCCTGTAAGCTCCCAACTACCCAGGGAGCTGCCTGAGAATTAACTAAGGGGATGTGTGTGGCGTTTAGAGTGTGTGGCATACAGGAAGGGTCATGCTTTTAAAAATAAATGGTGACATGCGTGCTCAGCTCATAAATACCGGAGCTGGAACCCAGAGTCCCCGAGTCCGGGCCCCTGCTCTGCACCCACAGGCTGGGACGTCACGCAGGTGCCGCCAGTGGACAGCTGCGTAAAATGGGGCTGGTCGGAAAGCCTAACGGCCGGGCCCCCGCGCACTCGGCCCTGCCCGCTCACATGCCTGCGCCTGGTCCTCAGCACACACCCTGCTCTGCACTCCCTACATCCCCATGTTCTTTCTTGGGAACTCTCCAGAATAAAAACATAAAAACTCTGACGAGCTTCAGGCTGACACCCACCGAAGTACGTGGGCTCGGGGCTGCCACGCCTCGGCGATCAAGACGGTGTGTGGCCCGGAAAGATGTATAAATGGGGTGCTTACTTCATTTTCTCGTGGACGCTGAGCTGACCTCTCAAGACCCCGCAAGTCATGAGGCCTTTCCTCTTTCTCCTTGCCGCCTTCTTCTTTCTGGGCCCAGGTAAAACGAGCGCCTTTGCAGGAAGGGCTTCGGAGGTGGTGCCCCGTGAGAGTGGCTGCCTCAGGGAGGGCGCAGCCACGGTCAGCTCTTGAATTCGGAGGCACCCTGGGTCCAGCGGCCTTGCAGGGGACCCCTGGCCCTCGGAGGTGACATTCCCCTGGTGCCTCTTCTATAAATCCTTTGCCTTTTCCATCATGATCTGGGACGGGGTGTCACATGCCTGCAGATATACCAATAAGCCAGGAAAGATGCTCTTCATCCCTAGTCTCATGCTCACTCAGCCAATGAAATACTTGCAAAAAGAAGGAAAAGTGAGGGTAACCAACTACGGAGTTTTTAAAAATGGTTGTGATAGAGATGAAGACAGGTAAGAAAAGAGAGAGAAAGGAGAGATGGGAGACAGAGGGATGGAGCTTAGAGACACTCTTCATGCTGCTGTGGCAGAAGGTGAGAGAGTCAACCCGGCGGCCAGTCCTCACCACGTGCTGTGCAGCTGGAGAGTGTGACCACGGCTCCACCCGGTGACATGCACCGCGTTCGGCATTGCCCCTGCCTTCAGAGGAACTCTGCCCTGCTCCTAGCTCAGTGACATTCAGAGCATCTCTTTGGCTTTGGAAGGACCATTTATCATCCATTTTGCAGGCGCAGAAAGTGAGGTTCAAGGGGCTGAGTGGTTGCTCTGAGGCCTGCAGGTGCCCAGGAGTGAGCCAGGGTCTGAGCCCAGCTCCCTCGATCCACAGTGAGAGGACTTTTCCTTCCCAGGCAGAACTCTCACCACTTCCCCTGCTCCTGGGAACCTCCAATGGCTTTCGTGGGTCCTCCCCAAAATTAAAGTCCAAGACTAGACTCAGCCCGGCTTCCAGAGAGAGGAAGGAAGGGCTTCCCAGAATTTGTGCTGAGTCCAAGTTCTCCCCAGATGCCTGTGAGGTCTGTGCAATGCTCAGAATTCCCACGCCCGCCATGCACGCTCTGCGTGAGGAGCTTAGCAATAGGCCTGCGGACGTCGAGTCTGTGTGAAGGGTCAAGGATACGGGGACCTGGGGCCCCCAGTGAGCCATTCGTACCACTGGCTTTGATGCACACACTGGAAACTGACCAAGGTATCACTTTCAGATCACTCAGGAGGATTATATAATATAAAGAGACCTAAGGAAATGAAAATGTTCTCATGGATGTGTTTTAGGTGCACATACCTGCACAGACAGAATCACATTAACCCCTAGATGTGCATCTGGGGTGATCTGCTAGGAGGCTGTGGGGCACAAATGCTCTCTCTTCCCAGAGGCCTTCTCTTCCTGGACCATCCTTGTGAGTTGAACCCCCTACAAGGACTGTTGTCAGAGTGACGTCCAGTGCCTCCAGCCTGAGATGACCTTACAAATAAGCAGGGTAGAGAGAGTATGGACCCCTTCGACAGGAGCCACAGTTCCCTGAGCCTTCAAATACTGGGGTGTTAAGCCCTATGAACTTATGTGCTCATGAGAGAGATGATCAGGGCACGTGCTGGCACCAATCCCCCTGGTTTAGTGCATGTTGATGTTGTATGTTGACAGTAATTGCAATTTGTGTACATCTGACTCTTTTATAACAAATACCCAAATTAGGCATCTCTAAAATGTGAGTCCTGATGTGTTTTCTGTCCTTAACTGGAAGCTGGCTGCTCTTGTGATTGGTGCTGATCCAGTCTTCAGGCCAGAACCGGTCCTCTGCCGCCTAGCCCAGGGAAGGCCTGGAGAGCCACCCCAACCCGCTCCCCGGCCTGCCCTTGAGCACGGCTGATGGAAGCGGAGGAGAAATCAGACGGACTCTTCCTAAGCACTTTCCTTCGTTCTTCCACCTCAGTAGACTGTTTTCTTCTATATATTTATTCTGTTTTCACCCCAGTCTCGGGCCGTCCCCCAGTCTCGGGCTGGACTCCCCTGTCACCTCGAGTAGCACTTTGAGAGTGTGTTGGGGAAGTTAGTGACTCTGAGTGTTTATAGAAACAAGGTGACAATTACCCCAACAGATTCTGATAAAAGAACAAGGGTGCCTGTTCCCCAAAGCCCCAGGCGTTGGCGGACAAATCTTTCCTTGGTCTGAAAACTCCTATAGAGCCCATTTCCCCTGCCCTCTCATGGACCCATAGGAGGAGGCACTATGCCAGCTGGTAAAGAATCTTCACTAACTAGTTACCCAGCTGACTGTGCCTGGTAACTAAACGTAGCTGAGATGAGAATTAATCCCAGCGGCTCCTTCCCTTGTGTAGCCAGGAATGAATTTTTTGATGAGAAATGCATCAAGCTTAAAGGGAAATGCGTGAGTTCTTGTCAGAAAACTGAAGAACTTGTTGCTCTCTGCCGGAAGGCTCTGAAGTGCTGCCTGGTGGTCCAGCCGTGTTTGAACAGTTAACAGGAGCGGTGACCCCTGAAGACTAGGCTCCCGGGAGCAGCGCGGGGACCTGGCCGCGCCTTCCCTTCCCCGCCTCCTCCCCGGGCGCCTCAATAAAGACTAATGACTGGCTTCCACCACCTTGTCGAGTGATTCGCCTGGAACGGAACGGGAATAGCTAACCTGGGTCACCCCTCCCTCCTGCATTAATTTGATGGCTTTTGGGGGGGAACTTTCCCAAAGCCATTTGCTATGTCTTTTAAAGGGGGACTCCAGGAGTCTATAAATAAATAAACTTCTGGCTTGCTCTCAGGCAGTCAGCCCCAAGCAACCTGCTGAGATAGATAGACAATGATGATAGATATAGATATAAATATATAGGTACAGATGTAGCTATAGGCATAGATATAGACATAGACATAAGCACAGATATAGACATATAGACATAGACATAGATACAGATATAGATGGATAGGTAGAGAAATAAACATACATCAGCATGGATAATTATATTAATAATAAATAGATGGATAATCTATTTCTCAAAAACTCTCATGCATCACAGACCTGTCTAAACTAATATCTTGACTCCATGTCTTTACTTGGAGACAGTTAAGCATTGCCTATTCATTTGTTCTGTATCCATAATTCTGGGTTCAAATTTGCTAACAGGCAGAGGGATCATAAATATCTAAAATAAGACACTTCTTTTTCTCCCTGCCTGATGCTTCCAGAATTAGGAAACTATTATTTCTTCTTATGTTTATGTCAGCATAATTATTTGCATAAGTTCAATAAGAATCTGTTCCCCTGTAACAAGACACAGTTGAAAATAGCAGTTATATTGCCAAGGCTTCTACTGGGATGTCATATTTGAGAATTAGGTGCCTGGAATCCAGTTTAAGGAACTGAGTTGACTTCACGGAGCCTGGTACCTGGCTTGCAGGCTTCCCAGCTTCATAGGTGTTTTACTTCCTGGCAGGTCCAGGCACCTGAGGATGCTTGGGGACCTCAGAAATTCTCTGGAGTCAATTTCACTCCTTCCCCACAAAACCCTGCTGCCAGTGTCTTGACTCTTGTCCTTGGGCACAACTGACCACACCTACCTGCTTTCTTATTTCAGCAAGAAGTGACCTTGACGCAGACAAGATATGTGGTTATGGGACCGCTCGCTGCAGGAGGAATTGTAAAACACGGGAATTCAGAATTGGAGCCTGCCCCAACACTTACCCCTGCTGTCTGAAAGGACGGACGCCACCTAACTGAGTCCTGTGAAATACCCCAACCCACTGGAGCCCGGTCCCTAGACTCACTGACAGCTGGACCTTACAGCTAGAACACCCAGGTGCAGCCACTGAGCCCATTGTTAAGGGAGGGTTTGCTGAGGGCTTCCAGTCGGGCAGAGTCCAGGTAGCAGAGCCACAGAACACCTGGCCTCAGCCATCCTGGGCCCGGGTGGCCCTGCTCTGACTGCAGTAGGGGGTGTTCACTGTGAGTTTCAACACTTTACAGGCTTAACTAAAAATACATCTAATCAGCCACAGCCAGCCTGAGGGAACATCTCTTTTTTGGCTTGAATTATAGCAAGTGATCTTCATAAGATTGGTTTTCTTTTCTGATCAGAAGTTCTGCCCAGCAGTTACGTATGTCTTTTGCTCTTTAATTTGGAAAATAAATCAATATTAAGGGCGATTTGTTCGGTATACACTATACTTCAAAACATCGGCTTCTGGGGAGGGAAAAAATGATGTCTGATCAGAAAGATGCAAACTGAGGGGCTGAGCGGAGTGGATGTCTGTGAGGATCAGATCCAGCAGGTGGCAGCAGAGAGCAGCAGGCCCCGGGCAGTGCTGGGCGCAGGGCCCGGTTCACTGTCCTGCAAACCAGCAAGGAAAGGGAGTGACCGAGACTTTGACCTGGCTCTCCCGTCCAAACTGTATTTCAGGGTAACCAAATAATTTATGACGAAAGCTTCTCTCCACAAAAGTAGCCCAGCTGACAAATGAAGTAAGAATGGTAGAATGAGAATATCGCTGTTTTGCAAACGCCCAGGGAAATGATCTAGCCCATAAATGCCAATAGCCACAACAGTAAACAAAATGACTGCCCGGGATTATGTGCCTGCCAATAGACTTATACAACGCCACCTGTGAGCTGTTACGCTGACCTGCACCCTTTTGGCCAAATACGGTGGTACAACCAACCTCCTTGGAGCTGTCATCACCCAGCTTCATCCCCGATAAGCTCTCCCTCCTAGATTATTTCCAAGAGTATTCAACATGCCATGTCACGTCCTGGGAAAATACTTTGGAATACATAACTCAGAGAAAATGACTCTTCTAAAAACATAATCACAGTGCTATTTCTGCACTTGAAAAAACACACACAAACTAACATTAATGTCATAATATAACTTAATAGCCAATGAGTGTTCAAATGCCCTTGTTTTTCATAAGTGCTTTCCGAGTGGATTTCTAAGAATTAGGGTCCTAAAAGGTCTTCATACGGCATTTGGTCATTTGTCTGAAATAGCCCTTCCCCGACTCCAAGGATAATTTACATAGTCATAGTAATAAGGACTGCTGCACTCAGCCCTGAAGAGAATTACAGCCACACTATTTTAATTCCATGGCTTAACAGCAAAAGAACAAAGGCAGATTGTTCTAGATTACTGTTTCCAGGATTAGCAAGAAACATCTGGTGCACTGGCACACATTCAGAAACTCAACGACATTGCTGCTGCCCTTCCGTCCCTGAAGGGTGGGCACAGGCCTGAAGGCTGACGTTCAAAGCAGAAGACCAATCACGTCTGAGATTAGCCTGATGAAAATCAGCAGGAAGGAGAATGGAGTCTGGGCATTTTCCACTTTATAATTTATACATGTTGTATTATTTGAAGCTGAGAGAGAGAGAGAGAGCGAGAGAGCCCAAACATCTGGGTGAGCAGCTCTGCCACCCAGGTCCTTACTGGGAAAGGAAACGGGCAGGGCCGAGATTGTCAGCACGCCTCTTCCTGCCTCCCAAGTGGCATCTCATTAACTCCTGGAAAATGCAGCTGTGAGATGAGATGCTGGGACACGTGTCATGGAGCATCGTCACCAGCAATGCAGCCTCTGTCACTTTACTTCCTGCATCTCCTTGGTTCAAATGAACTGGATCTCACATCCTAAGAGGTAAAAGGAAACAGTGCCGTTTATTAGTTGCATGGACAAAATGCTTTTAAAAAGAGGTAGAAGCAAGGATTAGAATAGCCTGTTATGGGTTCTGCCGCGCTCCCCATCAGAACGGATGTGGCTCTCAGCAGGTAGGTTTGTAGCTTTTCCGGGACACCCGGTGCTGACGGACCAGGCCCACAGCTCAGAGCATTGTTCTTTCGGGGCAGGTGTAAGGCCAGCTGCCTTTCTAAGCCCCACCCCAGCCCTTGTCTATCACGTCACAGAATGGGCTCCTCAAGGGTCATTCTTTTAGAAATATTGGGCAAGGTTTATTTTATCTTAAGATCCAGTCAGGGGATGTGAGATGGGACTATTCTCTGCTCGATTTCTTCATCTGATTGGATCAAATGATTTTAAAGAATTAGAGCAATCCTTTAGCAGAGTGGTAGTTATTAAAATACTGCTGTATTTCGATTCATAATTCATCATTATTTATATCTGAATATTAGCTTGAGCTTTCTTTTTTCTTTCTATAGTGAAAACAAACATCTGTAGGAATAAGTTGCCCACATACTTTAAAATTTGCATCTTTAAATAAAAGATCTCAATTGCATATTTAAATAAATTCAGACACAGCTGTAAGAAATAGCTTCTGGTGAGTTTGCACAAGCACAGAGAGCGTGGATGAGGGAATGTGCGAGGCTCCACCGGAGCTGAGGTGGCAGCAGCCCCCCACCTCCCTGCTTGGCCGCCTGCCCCCCGGCGTCCGATTGCTGAACCTCAGGGGAACCCCCCGACCGCGGGCCTCCCCCATCCGTGTCCTCTCCGAACTGGGAGATGTCCTGATGCCCGACGACGAAAGGATGCGATGGTGCCGCCTCTCCCGGCACCTCGTGCTCCCGGTACTGAATCTGTCCGAAACCCAGGGTGGCGATGGCCGTGGACGGTGCCGAGACACCTGTGCACCTCCGTCCCTCGCCCCAAACTTTGTCCCCTTCATCGTCGCTTCTCTGCTGCCCAGTCTCTGCTTTGGCTGCTGCCTCTCTGTCCGTCGCTTTCACCCGTCTCCAGGTAGAGCCTAAGTATGTGCATTTGAACAAAGACATTTGCTCTGGACGAAAATGTGCGCGCGAGGGCGACCCCTGGGAGAAACGCTGCCTCCCCCGGCCCCGATGCCGCTTGGGCATCATAGGGTCGCACCGCCCTCGAGCCAGAGCCCACAGCCCTCCCGGGGAGGCGCCCGCCTGAGACAGTGACACAAGACAAACCCCGAGCTGCTGAGAAGGCAGAGAAGAGGGGAGGAAGGGCCCTTTGCTTAGTGATCGCCGAAAGAGAAAACCCAGACTCGGCACCAGAATTTTTTAAAGCAGAATTGAATTGAACCCAAAGGCAGCAATGGTCAGGCCATGGGGGGGAAAGAACAGAAGGCGGGGAGGCAGAGCAGTCGGATCGTTAACATCAAAAGGGGGGTAAAGGAGGCGGTTGAGTCCTGGAGGAGCCAAAAGACAGGGAGAGACTCAGGGACAACAGACAGGAGTGGGGAGTGGGAGAGGCTGTGCCAAGGCTCGCTGGCTCTCTCTGTCTCTGCCTCTCTCTCTGTCTCTGCCTCTCTCTCTGTCTCTGTCTTTCTCTCTGTCTCTCTATCTCTCTCTCTGACTCTCTTTGTCTCTATCTCTCTGTCTCTGTCTCTCTGTCTCTGTGTCTCTATGTGTGTGTGTCTCTCTGTCTCTCTGCCTCTCTATCTCTTTGTCTCTGTCTCTATCTCTCTGTCTCTGTCTCTCTGTCTCTGTGTGTGTCTCTCTCTGTCTCTATCTCTCTCTGTCTCTCTGTGTGTATCTCTCTCTCTATTTCTCTCTGTCTCTGTCTCTCTGTCTCTCTGTCTCTGTGTGTGTGTTTCTCTCTCTGTCTCTGTCTCTCTCTGTCTCTCTGTCTCTGTGTGTGTGTGTCTCTCTCTTTGTCTCTCTCTCTTTTTCTCTGTCTCCTGTATAACTTTCGGAAACAACAGGTTTGGAAAGTCGATCGCACTGGGAATGTTTTGTTTTCCTGCATGTTTTTTCCCCACTAAGATACACACGTTCAGAGGACAGGGTACAGGTGATATGACAGCTTTATTTATGTCACCGTTTTAAGAAACGGCAGAGCTTTAACGAGACGCACGTGAGGAAGCCGGCGGCTTCACGTCGCTGGCGTTTGCTTTGCCTCTTCCTTCCCCTTTCTGCAGGCTCCTCTCTCCCCGCTCCCGCACCCAAGCCCGCCCAGGGCACTCAGGCGTGGTCGCTGCTTCCTGAGAGAAGGCTCAGCGTCCATTCCGCGAGCAGTGGGGCAGTAATGTGTCCGCATGAGCCCTCTGTGGGCGGAGGTGATCCGGACCACAGCCCCCCTGCTGCGGCCCCCTCCCCAGCTCAGCCATAAAGGGAGCGGCTGCCTGCTGCCCCTCCCACCGGGACCCGCCTGGCTCCCAGTGCCCTCGGCCGCATGGAGCGGCTCCTCTCGCCACGCGCCCTTCTCCTTGTGGCCCTGCTGCTTCCAGGTAAATCGGAACCGGGACCTGGGCCAGGGGGCCGGCATCTCCTGCACAGGCCATTTCGGGGATGGGCGTCCAGGCTGAGCAGGGAGATCCTAAGTCCCAGGAGCACATTTTCTGGTGGGGATTTTACACAGGAGTCTCCTGGCTGGCATCCCAGTGACACTGAATCTGCTGATGGCACTGGCTTCCCAGGAGAGAGGCTCCCAACCCTGACTTCACTTTCTACCCTTTAAACAGTCCTCTCCCCTCACAGAGGAGGGCAGTGTGTGTCTGCAAGAACCTCACATTCAGGGGCGTCAGCAGCTATACTGGTGATGCCCTAGGGGACAGCTCAGCTTGGACTCTGTGAAATACCAGGCTCCATGCCTACCCTTTTCAGGTGCCATTGCTCTCTCTGTCTCTGCCTCTCTCTCTGTCTCTGCCTCTCTCTGCCTCTCTATGTCTCTCTCTTTTTCTGTCTCTCTCTGTCTCTCTGTCTCTCTCTCTCTCACACACACACACACTTGCACCCCTTCCAATCCACTCCACCCATCCTCCACCTTCTCTTTTTTCAAACATTTCACTGAGTGTAATTTAGATGGAGGACTGCACGTATCTGATGAGCGCGGTTTGATGAGCTTGGACGTGTGCGAACACCAGGTACCATCCCACAGCCAGGGCAACAGACACACCCAGTACCCCGGAGTTCCCTCGTGCCCCTTTGTGCTTCTGTTTTTTTGGGATAAGAATACTTAACCTGAGATCTGCCCTTTTAGCAAGGTTGGACGTGCACACATGCTGTTACTACAAGTGCGGAGCTGTTACTACAGGCCCTGAACTCTTCCTACAGGCGCTGAGCTGTTACCACAGGTGCTGAGCTCTTACTACAGGCGCCAAACTGATACTACAGGTGCCAAGCTCTTATNGATACCACAGGTGCTGAGCTGATACCACAGGCCCTGAACTCTTCCTACAGGCGCTGAGCTGTCACCACAGGCCNCTTATTACAGGCGCTGAGCTGCTACCACAGGTGCCAAGCTGATACCACAGGTGCTATCACAGGCCCTGAACTCTTCCTACAGGCGCTGAGCTGTCACCACAGGCCCTGAACTCTTCCTACAGGCGCTGAGCTGTCACCACAGGCCCTGAACTCTTCCTACAGGCGCTGAGCTGCGCAGCGGGCCCTGTAACTGTCCCCCCTCAGGACTGAAACTTCATACCCCTGAGTGCACCCCCCACGCAGCCCGGCCTCCACTCTAACCCCCCCAGTACAGGGCTCGCCTTGAGCTCGCGGGCCTGCTGGGCGGAAAGTGTGAAAATCCCCTGCTGTGTTCGCTCGCACAGGGCTGTCCAGGGCCAGGTATGTCAACCACGAAGACACCGAGGGTACCCGAGCACCCCGGGAGGAGTCCCACGGACAAGGCCCAGGCGGCTCTCACGCTCTGCGCCATGAGGAGAAGCGCCGCCTTTTGCCACGCACTGTCCCGTACCTTGGTGAGTGAGCAAGCCTGTGACAGGCCATCCACGCGGGAAACCTGTAGTGAGTGGAGAGGTGGGGGTGGCTGCGGGGGCTGCGGGGCCCGGGCGGAGGCTGAGCCCCGGTGAGGACAGGGTGGCTCCCACTGCCCCACCTGCGGGACAGGTCCCCTGCGGCTGGATCACTGAAGGTCTCGTGGGACGTGGGAGCCCCAGGAGGCTGAGGGGCCCAAGTACTCAGACCCCGCCTCTGACTTCACCCAAACCCCATAGCCAGAGGGGACCATGCCCAGCAAGGGGTCTTCCTCCCTCAGCCTTGGGATCCGTTCACTGCACAGGGACCTGCTGAATTTGTGCCTCAGTTTTCATCTGAGATTCACAGCAGCATAGTGAGTGGAGAGGCAGACCATTCTGCATAAAAAAGGTGACCAAAAACCAGTGAGACAGGCCTTAAATCATCACCCCACCCAGGGTGTTGGACAAAAGTGGAAACTGAGGCAGTGTTTTGCTTTGGAAAAGTCCATTGGTGAGCTGGGCAGCCTGTCCTTCTCCTGAGGGGAAGGGCCTGGGGCCCTGCTCCCACCGCGGGCCATCCTTCAGCAGAATCACCTGGAGAACGTAGAGACGTGTCTAATACTGTGTGGGGCTACAGTGGACCAGCATCTCCTCTGCCTCCAACATCTAACAGGGGGCAGGTGCTCAGGTGAGCTCTCCAAGCGGCAGGCGCAAAGGAGAGGTCGATCTGCTTTGAAGTGGGCCCGCATCCCCAAGGATCTGGGTGGGGGTGGGCGTACTTGCTTTCTGTGGCCTGGATTTGGGCCTCATGTAGGAATTACCTTTGGTCTGTTGAAGAGGGGCACTGTTGAGGCCATGAGACATCAGTGACGACATGCCTTAGATGTCCCCAGGTACTTATGGGGCCAAGGAAGGAGCCAAGAGCAGAGTGGAGACGTGCATTAGGTCAGCTTAGGATAGAATCGATCAATAAGAAACTCTGGTCTCAGCCTCCTCGGCCTCCTCTCCTCTGTTACAAGGCTTGGAGGTGTCGGAACTCACTCGTCCTCCTGGGGGAAGAAGAGAAGAATCTTTAAGGAAAAGGGCACGTTGCTGATCCTACCCAGGCCCTGCCTGCAGCAGCTCTGAGCAATGACCCAGGGAGATAGTGTGGGTTCCCTGGGCCTCTGTCGCTCTGTTCTTACAACATAAGGCTCAACTCGCACCGAGAAAATAACTTTTCTCTAAGGAAAAATGATTGAATTGTTCTTAGGAGTGTATGTGTATGTCGGAGGGTAGTTAGCAGGGGTGTTTCCCGGAGCAGAAGGAAGGAGAAGGTTAGAGGAGCCGAGGCGGGTGCTGCTGGAGGGAGGATGCTGCTGGCAAAATCAGAAAGAACAGGGAAGGGTGACACAACAGAGGCCACTGGCTTGGAGATTGACCTTGAACTCTCTCAAGGTGGTCCGTTGATTGTGATCCAGCTGTTGGAGATTCTGGGCCACACACTTTCCACATACCCTTTAAGCTCGTGCATGTCTCCAGCGTCAGCCTGAAAAAAGTCCAGTGGGATCAAGAGTGCTCTCACTACCCCAGCCCAGCACACAGGACAGGATGGCACGTTGCAGGTTCTCACGAAGGGTTTCTTGAGTACATGATTAGGCACACTGGTCCTGTTTCACACAAGAAATTACTCAATGGGGAACAGTTTGTTAAGAACTTAAGTCTTTATCATAACGCGAGGCTCAACATTAGATCATTGTGTCTTATGAGTTGCTGTGACAATCCCTATGACTAAGACCTGTCTTGAGTAATAATAATATTTATACACTGCTCGCTTTGTGCCGGTCTGTTCTAAATGCTGGGTATAGAGTGTCAGTTACGCAAGATGAATAAATTCTGGAGGTCAGCTTACAACATGGGCCTCTACGTTAACAATGTGGTGTTTCGCATTTAAAATTTGTTAAGAAGGTAAGTCTTATGTTGAGTGCTCTTACTACGAGAAAAACAAAAACAAAACATAAGGACACAAGGAAATGCTGGGGAATGATGTTTGTTTATTACCTTGATTTGGTGATGGTATCGGGGGGGGGGTATGGGTATGTCCAAACTCATCCCATTGTACACATTGAATAAGTACAGAGTTATGTATAAAAAAAAAAAAAAAAAAGACTGCTGATAAGAAAATAGTTTTAATTGATTGACCAATTGATTCTTTGGTCTAGCCAAATAATTATGATGCATATCAGTGAGAGAAGTTAGAACAAGAAGAGGGTAACATCCCTTCACATTTGATTGGTCTGAAGGTCAAATCTCAAATTGGTGGCAGAGCGTCTGCTAATGATCAGGGCGCCCCTGACATGAAGTCTTCCCCAGCCAGACACGTATGCTGACTCTCTGACATTGTGCCTCTGCTTTCACTGTGTTCATCTATTTTTGTAACACTTGCCCCTTGCTCCTGTTTATCAGTTGTCATCAAAATATACCATTTACGAGAAAAATTAATGTTTAATAATTTCAGTATTTGAACTATGGACTGAGATGTCAATTTCACATTGCTCGAGTAACTTGGCCCATGTTAAAGGAACCAAATCGTCTCCCAGGCACTCTCTCATAATGAGTGGGAAATTTTTTTCATTTCTTTAAAACTCTACCCTCTGTCTCCCCTGTTCACCGGGCCTAGCCTAGACATCCCATCTCCCATACATGGACAGCTCAATCCACTTCCTCAGGGGATCACTGCTCTTTTGTACATGTTTGATGGGGCCATATCACTTCCCAGTTTGCCTCAGAGAGTCCTTATTTGTCCCCTTACACAACATTCTGAGCCAAAGTGTCACATTTGCATTGTAACACATCCATCACCAGAAATCTTTCCAACTGCATCTGAATTGGCCTCTCCTCTTCCAGGGACTGGGATGGCGACCGGGAAGCCTTTATTGAGGGTCTGACTTTTATATCATCAGAATGGTTGCAGGGACACATGAGAGGTCACATGCAGAAGATATCTGTTTCTTGTTCAGTGTCG